TTTTTTTTTCGGAAAATGAGAGAATCAGGAGTTTGCGTTACAAATTGGTATTGTGATTTATTTTCTGTTTAATAAGTCCCAGTTTTTTAATGTATTCATTCGTTTTGTGTGAAATTCATAGCAGTTGTGTTTACAATAGTGTTTAATTAATGAATAGCAGTATTGATTAGCTGTGAGATGTGCTAGAGGAAGGTGCTGGAATGATGAAGTGTGAAGAAGATAAGAATGCTGATGTTGCGAGACTGTTGTACATGTAGAATATACGCATGCAGATGGTACATAATACAGGATCTACTGATGATCTATTGAATTATTGAGTGCAACAAGGATATGCTGCAAGCGTTTTGTAGGTTTGGTTGTCGGTAGGTTCGAGATAAGAGCAAGTTACGTAACGACGGTAGCATACAGAAACACGTATCTACATGTGTCTATATATAACTATGTTCGTTTATGTATACATATGTATATTTGTGTATGCATATGTGAATGTAAGCAGCTAACCTCAATAGTTGATGACGTTATTGAATGTCCGTACGACACAGCGACACTTGGATCTATTGATTTGTACGGCTCAGCTCGGTCCCTCTAATAATATTTTTTGAAAGTAAATTATTTGTGAAAGCGAAGGATAACACAGACAAACCGTATATCGAGCAAATTCACCAACTTGTTAAATGATTTTGTTTTTGATATAGAAGCTGATTCAGTTTGATGGATAATCGATCGTGGTAGTGTTATGATCGTATGAACTACCCTATAACAACTATAATTTTTTTATAAATCACACTGTTTACATAAAATAATATAATTATTTCGTGTCACTATTTCTTCTCTTAAACTTTGACTGAGTTTCACTTCTATTTCGTGTGCTGGTGATCGTATTAATAATCTAATGAATCATGGCTTCGATCCTCCTTTTCCTACTGTTCGCACTCATACGTCTTATCGGTAGTCTTTCACTCTTTGTATGCGCTGAGAACTAGCACATGACTGCGACTCAATGCGAGCGGTTAAGTTCATTTCAAAGTTAATGGTGATTGTTTCATCGTATCCTTAATTTAATTGTGTATTAGTCATTGTTATCTGATGTTTTTCTGAAGCGTCATTACGTAAGATATCAGGTAGTTTGTTATTGCCATAGTCTCGTCCGTTCGTCATCTTTCGCTGCGATCTCGGCACCTTCATAAGGAATGGTTGCAACTGCTCATTGTTGGGAGTGAACGAAAAGTGAAACTAATTTGTGTTGATTGAGACTAATCGGAAAAGTAGCGTTTAAGAATCATTCCTGTCTGCAGCCTCAAATCGAGATTGAGTAGTTTCGCACAGAAATAATGAAGGAAATCATTTATTGGTTAGGATGCGTTGCGGTAATGAATGAGAGAAAATCAGGTTGAGCAGCGCTCGATGTAGTCGTTGCAGGAACTTGAGCAGTTTGTCCTTTATTTATTGTGTCAAACGACTCGTTAGTAATGCATCTTTGGGTATTACCATGATACATTCAGTTTGGTGTGTTTTCAGATAAGTTATTAGGTTCATCCAGTTTATAGAGAGATCGATGATAGGTTTCGATCGACAAATGAAGCGAGATTATTGCGTGATTAAATGCTTTTATTCACAGCAGCATGTGTATGTTATCATTTAGTATGTGATATTATCTTTTGTTCAGACATACAGTGGAGCAACACAACGGAATACGACGAGTAACGGTCAGGGAACGAGGAGGGTGGATTTGGGCGAGGTAAGTCAGTTTGAGTTCATTTGTTGATATGATTATCAGTCAACTCTCTGAGCAGTATGGGAAGTTGTATATGCGGTGATCTAACTGGAATGTGTTAGTCCTGTTATCACAAATAGATTCGAGAGTATTTGTTTAAAATTTTGAGAGTATTTGGTTGAAAATTCGTTGTAAATACTGTTATTTTGGGTGTTGAATATTGCGAGAATTTGGATGAGATTTGAACAAATAATTAAATCTGCCAATTTGCCTAGATAATCCCAAAAGTTCTAGCTCGCATCGGATAAATTTTGCTTTATGTTATAATAAAAGTATTTATAATTGCGGTATTATGATAATAAAAACATTTGAATTTTGTCATTCCAGGGAACGATTCATATTTACTGTTTACACTAATTATTTGGATGCTAAGGTTGTATTTGTTTAAAGTGCATACGAATAGGTTCTGTGCTTCACCGCATTCAAGGAAAACTTTATGGTGAAATTAATATTGCAGATGGAAGGAAGTGGTGCAGCAGTGGGTGGTATACAAATAATGAACACGGCACAACCGATTGTTGTTACAAGTGGAGGTATGATGGTAGCCAGCAGCAATAACAATAATCATAATACAAATAACTCACCAGGACCTTCTTCTACGGCGGGAGGAATCGGTGCTCTTATAAGTGGTACGAGTTTGGCACCAAATGATTTTTCGAATGTTAGTAGTACGGGGTCGATATCGGATCGAGAACCCGAAACACCTGAAAAGGTGGCAACTGGGACTGCAACTGGGGCAGCGCCTGGAGTTGCTCGTTCGAACACGAAGAACAACTCAGAGAAGAAATCTGTTCGCAAGCGGAAACGTGCTGCCGAGGATGCAACCAATAGATGTGAACGTAAAATCACTGAATGCTTTCGAGTGAGTCCTCATCTCTTCTCCATTTATATCCATTTTTTAGAAGATCTCCACTTTATTGAAAGAGGGAGAATTATTTGCATATTTGAGGATTACTTGGAAGTGAATAATGGCACCATTACTGTTAGAGATACAGTTGTAATTGATGTAACTGCTGTTCACTTCATTGTAAAAAGATTGAATTGTTCTTTTGTCGTGCTTCCCTTAATTTCATCTATTGAAGTGTTTTATCTCCTGCAGCCTTCTGTTCTGCATATTCTGTGAATCCATGTACTTCTTTTAAGAATTTTTTCACATTCATAACACTTTTTGTAATATTCAAATTCAGAATAGTAACATATCATTTTCAGAACGTTGGATCGAGTCCAAAACGCTTCTCTTCTTCAATGCAAGCTGTGAACGGCGATAGCTCAAGTAACGAAAATGTGTGGATCCATTTCTTTTCATTTATTTTATTCTTTTGTTTAATGAGAACCATTTGATCCTGTTCCTGGACGCCGTGTTCACTATTTTTCATCGACGGTAGCTACAAAATATTCTCTCCGTATTTACTGATAATGTAATTTAATCAACAAATATTATTGTTCGATTGATAGACATGCCTTGTTCTTCGGTGAATTTATGTGAAAGCACTATTAAATTCTAGTGCCTCCAAATTATTGTATAATTTGACATGTTGGAAAGTTGGTACTGTTGTATAATTTGGTCAGCCACAATCGGGAGATGTTGAGTCTGAGCCTAGAGCGCATGCGTTAGCCTCCCTTACTCTAAATCCTTATTTCGTTTGACGATGACGAGGAATCAAATCGACCAGATGTTTAGCTTACTGTATAATATTTCCAATTTTTTTTNTTTTTTTTCAGTTTAATTTATCATCAATATCACCAATACCAAACAATCGCACAACGCCAAATCATTTAACAGTCTACACTTCAAGTGATTCCAATCAGAGTCCACCACAGCAATCAGCTCTGAAATGTGATTCTGAGGTTTGTTTGCTGCACAACGATATATATTAATTAAAATGTATGATATTTAAAACTGTGACTGTGATAGCACAAAAATAATCTTTAGCAAATGGATGAAGTATGGTTATAATTTGACACAAATTTAAAGTGTCATTTTAAAACTATAACGGTGATAACGTTTGAAATTTTTCGTTCATCACTTCACTTTTTCGGTGCAAAATTTCTTTTTAATTTTTCGTATAAGTGATTGGAAAATGTGAATACAAACTTTTACGTTGGCTGATTCTCAACATATTGTAAAGCTGACAAGGTTTTTTGACTTCGATATCAGCGCGCTGAAATTTGCATGAAGGTATTGTCTCGAATTGATATCTGGTAACTGAAATAATTGCCTGAAATTGGTGTCGTTTGCAAGTGCGATGTGTCGAAATAATTCAGTTTTAGTTGATAAATTGATTTTGATTGAATGACAAATGAATGTTGCAGATACAAACGGATGAAGTATGGGCAGTAAACGAGGATGCGAAAGCGGAGTTGAGTAAGAAGGACCGCATAATAGAGGAGATGCAGAGGGTAATTGATGATCTGAAACAGCAAGCAGTCAAAAAGGATCGTCGTGTTGAGGCTTGCAAAGAAACGATCAAGCGTCTGCTCATACAACAAAGTACTATGGAACGCAAACAGGTACTAGATATCGCAGCACATATAATTTCTTTCGTAAATGGGGCTCGATTTTAAATTGGAAATTAGTTCTCCTATTCCAGAAGATGAGTCGCTTTGAGTTGAATTCGTGTAGACTCGAGCATCATGTACTGAGTTGTTTTCAGTCAGTCGATATCGAAATATTGATTGTAATAGTCGGCTATATGATGAAATGAGACCGAGCTTAGATTCCGATTGTAGTGTAATTAGATGAATTTAACCTGCTTAATTCTCATTTTAATCTATATGGAGATACTTTCAAAACTTTTATTTCCCAGGCGAAAGCGAAATGTATGGAAGATTGCCTGCGAATAGGTCAGTTCAAGCCGACGAGGCATCGTGAGGAATTTCGAGAGATGTGGTCCGATGGATGGGCGTTCGAAGAGGTCACGAAAGCTCAACAGAGAATCACCAATGAACGGAACGAAATTCTGAATGCGTCCCAGAATTTAAGAAAACGAAAACCGACCGCAAATGCAGCGAAAGACCCATCAAAGAGGTTTATATTCTTATTGAAGTACTAAGCTTTCACAACTTAATTTGGCATTTCAGTTCATGAAAAAAAACTGTTGAGTTGAGTAAAACTGTCTATGTATTTACGGTTGTTTCAGTGGTTTTTGTTGAATGTCAGTTGTGCATATCTGTGTTATTTCGAGTGATTGCCGTTGGTAGTTTCAGAAATAATTTTCATTCGTTCAAATTCAATGTGCATTGGGCTATCAGAATCTTGTTATTATGCATAAATTGTTTTATACATCTACTACTTATTCATTCTTTCTTTGGTCTTTTTGCATCGCATATGTTCACGAGTGAATTTTTAGGACAAATTCTTTGTCGTCTTCGTTGAATGTCGACGGCTCATTACAACAGCCATCAACATCCTCGTCATCTGGCTCAGCATCATCGAATTCAAATTCAGCGGCATCTCAAAATGATGATCTATTCGCACGTCCTGAACTACCAAAAGAACTTTCTCTACAAGAGTATATTGAACAAGACGAAATATATCGATTACGTCGGGTAAGTCGAACTCTAATATTTCATTGGAAAGTGTTTGGTATTATTCAAATTGGATGTTATTTGCGATAATGCAGTTATCACTCATCACTCTGTTGCAATTTATTTTCTTAGAGATTGGTGAATAAATTTCATGGAAGATTCTTTCCAGTTCTCATTTTCATCAAGCTTATTGTTTCTTCATGGATTCTCGTAAGTTAGCTCTGGATATTCATATTGAGCGTAGCCGTCATAAGTTATGGAAAACAAAATCTATAAATAAAAAATTATAACTGAAGAGTAGTACTGCATCCCGTATTTTATATTAACTCATTCGTATATTCCGTATACATTTTATATCATGTTCGTTTTCTTAATGCTTTTCCCACTCAGCTTTTACACGGTGTCATTTTAAAAATACCTAATGCACATTGTTAGTGGATTTTGGTTGTTAATCCACTACGATATTTCCTTGAACACTTCGAGGTAGTCGTGAGGTTTAGATGGATCCGAGATCAGTATGATAACTGGGATTCAACTTAAAATGCACAAACAATAAGTGAGTTGTCATGCGTTAATCTCTAGGAACATCTCAAGAAGGAAGAAGCTGAGTTGATAGCCGAACGCGATCGTTTGGAACGAGAGCGTAATCTTCATATACGAGAATTGAAACGGGTACAGTACGAAGAAGCCAGTCGTTATAAAGATCATGAACTGCTCAACAAGCGTTACCTTCTGCTATCATTACTCGGGAAAGGTGGATTCAGGTTCGTTTCTTTTCATTTTTATTGTTATTTTACGGTTATTATTTACCATGACTATTTACCACTGTCATATAGGGCGTTTTGCTATCACATAAATTCGAGATTTGTCTATTTTGATATAACACTGAGGTTTTGAGTGTATTTCAGTGGTTGTTGCGACATACGTAGTATGCAAAGTGTAAACGGTGGATGCATGTTGCTATATTGATTGACTTTATAGCAACATGCACTTATCGACGTGTTCACTGTTATTTTATCAGCATCGATTGCCTGCTGTTATATTCTCTTAGCCAGTCTTTAATCGCGCTAAAGTGACGTCTTTGAAATATTCTTTTTGATCAAAACAGCCATCACTTAAATCGAAAATGGGTCATAGACGTTGTGTAATATTTGTTTCATATCGGAGGCGTTCAGTTTATAGAAAGCGGGCAATGCTGCTGATATTCATAAATTGGTGTGATAATAGTAGAAAATTTGGGTCTTAAAATCGCAGCTTGCTTTTATTTGTACGGAGCAGCTAATTAGTAGTCATCAAGACATCCTTTTGTTGCACTCGCTCTGATCAGTTTGAATGGACCATGAATGAGGATTCCGTCCCTGATACAGTTTGAGGAACGAAAAGGGAAAGCTCAGTATGTATGTCAGTATCGCTGGTATACTCGCCACACGGTGACAAGAAGCATTCATATTGCAAGTTTTTATCGTGAACTAAAAATTTTCAGTGAGGTATGGCGTGCATTTGATTTGGATGGTAATCGTTATGTAGCGTGTAAAATTCATCATGTCAATAAAGAGTGGAAGGAGGACAAGAAGGTCTCACTTACATTATTTATATTTAGTATTTGTGCTCGTTAATGCTAAACAGTTTCCCATTTTTTGTAAAAAAATCATTCTCAATCAGCTCATTCGAAATTGGTTGAAGTCTATCAGAAACTACTCTCCTGTTCACTTCATTAATTGGATTAGGTCTATTGCAAAGGATTATTGTGTTATACTAGAAAACAGAATCATGCTGCTCCAGATGGGTTAACTGACTTCATTCACATAATTCAATCAAGCAAATTTTCAAAGATTATGTAATATGGAGAAAGTATTATTCGTCTTTTGGTTCACCCAAATTCATTGTTATAGTGGCGCATTTTATGTTGAAAGTGTATCCAAATACACGCGTACCGGAAGGATTACCTTTATCTGATGGAGTAGCTGGATTCAGTGAAATTAGGGTCATAGATGCATGATGATGCTTATAAGTAGCAGGGATATTTTCATAATAAATTCTTACGAAATGTTGATTGATAGAAATAGTTATGATAACAGTAATAATAACATTTATAACAATGAAGGCAAACTACGTGAAACATGCGATGCGTGAAAAGGATATCCACAAAACACTCGATCATCCTCGTATAGTGCGTTTATTTGATTTGTTCACAATTGATAATCATTCGTTTTGTACCGTTCTTGAATACTGCGATGGAAATGATCTCGACTTTTATTTGAAACAAAATAAACAAATACCGGAAAAAGAGGCTCGTTCGATCATAATGCAGGTCNATTTCGTCGAAAGTGCTGTTCATTTCAAAAATTAACCTTTTACTACATGTACACATCGCCAAGACCAGGTGTCTTATACCGCTTAACTTCAGCTGCAGCATTTCGCTTTTTTGTTCTGAAAAGGTTGAATTTTTGTTCTGAAAAGGTTTATTGAGGAAACCGACAAATGTTTGATTAGAAATTAGTGATTATGTAACATTATGAAACCATGAACTGAACGTTTTTCGAATGCAGTACCACTTAACCACTTGGATCACCTCCTTGAATCAGATCATTTGAACTCAAGTTTATGCAAATATATCACTCGTAGCCGCAATTCTATTGAAATTCGGTCGTATATGAAATTTTTGAAATACGATACACTCGTCGTATTTTAGGTGGTATCAGCGTTACGTTACTTAGCCGAGAAACGTCCACCAGTGATTCATTATGACCTCAAACCGGCAAATATCTTGCTCGAATCAGGAACTACCAGTGGTGCTATCAAAATCACTGATTTTGGATTGAGCAAGATTATGGAGGATACAGACGACGCAGACTCTATTGAGCTCACCTCTCAAGGAGCTGGCACTTATTGGTAAGAATCGTACATGTTTTATTCACTGATCGATTGTTCAATGAATGTATTATTGATGTTTTACAAGCAATTTCGACTACAAGTGATTGCCATCAAATGTTTTTACGCTAATACTGAATATTACTTCGTCCTCCCTTGACACAAGATGCCATCACAGCGTTCTTAGATCTGTCGCTTGAATGTTTCGCTCGAAAAACCTGTTGTTGGCAGGCTATACACTTGTATGTCTTGCCAATTTTGCGCTGTAATTTATCCCATACATTTTCGGTGGAAACTGTCAGTGCTTGTCGCTATCAGCGTTATCACATATTTTTGTCTTGCTATGATGTCTTTTAAAATGTGATAACTTTATATGTAAACATTTCTATACTATTCACTTCTCCTGGATTGCTTTCTTCGCTCTTTATGGCAGTTTTTGTTATTGCTGCCATTAACCGTCGTCAAATTTCAGGTATTTACCACCGGAAACATTTGTAGTTGGGCATAATCCGCCTAAAATAAGTTCGAAAGTGGATGTGTGGAGTGTGGGTGTTATTTTCTATCAGTGCCTATATGGACGAAGGGTATGAAATATCAAAAAAGATTTTTTTAAAATTTATCTTAATTGACTCGTGCATGGGGATCTTATTTGGTATAAAATATGATGGGATTGATAGGCATCAATTGAAATGGATTCGTTTTATTTTGAGTTCGAGATGAGAAGCACATGCTGTGACTTACTACAACCTTCGCTCGATTGAAATGCATAATTAGCTATGAGCATTCATTTTCTTTCGTTGCTTATTGTCTCTTACTGAGACGTTTAATATGACGGGTTTGATGTTACTCTGTTTGCTTTTTTAATTATATTTAGAACTTACTGGATTGTTATTCAAAATATTGTTGTTGATTTCGTTTTGCAATTATTGCAGCCATTTGGTCACGAGCAAACTCAGCAGAAGATTCTTGAGGAGAACACAATTTTGAAGGCAACTGAAGTCAATTTCCCTCCCAAACCGGTGGTTAGCAGTGCAGCGCAGGTAAAATTCACGTATCAGTTCTGATTTATGCATTTCATAGCGTGACTGGACAGTTTGCCTAAAAACTTCTGCTTAAGGCAAAATGTTCGGGTACCATGCATGCATATGTATCGTTTAAATGTCAGGAGTAGTTCGAAAATCAGCAGACTGAATGAGATATTTAGGCAGAATATCCATGGTTTTAGAACTGCCTTTAACAAATGTTATCCACATTAATTATATCGTTACCACCGGAAACATTCGTAGTTGGGCATAATCCGGTGTTACGTAAAACATTTAATTGAAGGACTTCATCCGTCGCTGTTTACAATATCGCAAGGAGGACCGTGCTGACGTCTTCGAGATCTCTAAACACGAGCTGTTCCGTCCACGTGGACAGGTAATAATTACCTTTTGTGCGCATTTCAACAGCACTAAATCGAATCTAGCAAAAAAAATCGACCAGTTGAATAATCTTAATTCGATGGACGACTTCCGAATAATCGGATGTTGATACCTGTGCAATAAACGTTCAGCTTTCTTAGATATATGTGAATAGCAAGATCCGGGTCGTAGATCACGACAATGAAAATTTCTTTTCAAATTCATGAGTAGGGTTTTTGGAAATTTTTGGAAAATATGATTTTATTGTGCCTATACCTACGTAATTCAAGAGTTGTGTTATTTTATGATCCTTCTTTATTGTTTTGCAGAAAAGTGTTCAACCACTGTCATCTCCATCCTCAAGGCCTATACGGAATGATGAATGTGACTTTTGAAACATCCGCCGCAAAACGCACTGTTAACAAATGGCGTATTGTAAAACTCATCCCGTCGCATAGGACTCTACGCTCATGCATACAAATATTGTATCTGAGTTTATCGTTATTGTGATATAAAAATACGCGGGATTATATTTTGGTTGTACCATATTCAGTTCTTCGAGATGTCTACGTGTGCAAGTTTCAACAGTCGACAGTAATCTACACAACATGTGAAAAACGATTGGTTAATGGAACACCGTATCCCGTCTGTTTTTCTCCGTTCTTGAATATGAAAAGTTTAATCCAATGTTGGAAACGATCCCCTGGTAAAGTCTAATGCAACGTCCTATATGACAATGTAGTAATATTTTTGCGAAATATGTCTTTAATATTCAATATGATTAATCTTCTGGGTATAAAAATCGTTTCAGTTTAGTACGTCATGCGTTTTATCTATACTGATGTTATTATTATCAATATCTCGTTATCCTAATTATCATCTTCCTTGTTATCATCCTTAACGTTTTTGTTTATACTGTTATAAAAGTTCTTATTTTTATCACCGTAATATATTGTTGTCGTCACTGTCACTCATCCAAAACAGTTTTTGAGATTAGTTAGTTGAATTCGTTACATTAACGCTAATGTTGAAAGATATATAGAACATGATTAATCCATCTGAAATGTCACGTCGTCTCGTTCTATTCTAATGAGCCAAGTCATTTCGGAAACTGAGTTACTTAGGTTCGTTAGAGTGACGTTGAGTGATTTGTTTTGGTAATTCCTCTTTCATTTCTGCGGTTGTTTGTCGAGAGGCGATTCAGGCATATACGTAACGCTTTATCTAGTGGCTGCAAGACTTCACGCTGCACCTCCATTCTTTTGGATCAGTTATTACAACCCAGTTATCTAGAATAGAATTGAAAGAATTTTGAGATGTATCGACGTGTTGATGAGCGATAGTTAGTTGTTATTGGAGTGGGCAGGATCGATCGGATCGGTTGTATTGTTTTTAGAAATGGTTGAGTTCATTTGATTATTATGCGATTAAATGAGAACATTTTGAATGAAATGTTGTATATACGGAGTGTAATACATTGTTATTGTTCGATTGATTTACGTATCATTTATTGAGTATTTTGTGGTGTATTGAATGAACGAAAGTTTAGTTGGAATTACTTCTCAAATATGATGCGTTCATCCACTGCATCACTGATGACGAGATGATATTACTTATTTTATTTAATGTTTATTTAAATCTGTGCACATTTCCATTGTCACATTTCATTTGTTTCTTTTCAAAATGCTATTGCATCAAAATGAATAATTTTAAACAAATATTGGAAACGCCTTCGCTTTTTTTTTCGTTTTCTCGTTTTGATTTGAAGAAATAAACGTAGCTTTCTATTATTTTGATCAATACTCATCTTCAATTCGATGATATGTTCGTTTTTAGCCCAAACAAAGGATACTTTCTCTCGATTATTCATTTTGTTAGCGGTTTTTTGCGTGTGTAAGCTAGCGACAGCAACCAAACGAAAGTTGGATAGGTCGAAATTCCATCGAAATTTGTTTTGGTCAAAATCGGATCGAATCGACTTTTCCAGAATCCGAAATTCAATATTCTGACCGAACTTTTGAATTCCCCGATCGAATGTCGACCGAGTTCGCATTTTGAGATTTCAAAAGTCGGATTTTACCAGCCAGACTTTGATCGATTACCATTACTATAATAGTAAACACTAAGTGATTAAGAAATTGCTCTCTGTAGACAGTTTTTATCGTCGAAATGCATCGAGCTACTCGTTTGATTACGTTTCACTGTCGCACTATGTGCGATGAACGAATATCACATTGTATTAACAAAAATAACAAGCAAATAATTTGGCATATGCTGTAAAATTGATGTGACACACTGATCAATGGAACGATGTTACGATATCACTTCTATTTCTTCATTGCCGTTTCAAATTCTGAAATCGATGAGTAAATGCTCTCATTCTGAAATCGATGAGTAAATGCTCTCATTCTGAAATCGACATCGATTTGGCGGATGACTTTAATGAACTCACTCAGTTACGAGCACACTATGGGAATAAGAAGGCCAACTCATGCAGTGCGATTAAATACAATGTGAGTGAATAAATACCTCAAGAATCAGTGCTTTGAACGATGAACGCTCAGCTGCACAATGCATCAACACCAAAAGCCTAATGAGCGATTGACCGTAAAATGAGATACTGTGGTCAGAAAGGCATGGAAGATGGTGAGCTTGAATGTGAAGCACAAATCCTACATGAATGCTTTCAGAAGGTGATCGTTCGTAAAGATTCGATATATCACTGGTTGCTGGACCTTGCAAACCTCCGAGTGTAACAACATTCGTACTTGATGCGCTCTTTGCACGTTGTGCTGCTCGTTTGCCTCGACTGCTCGAGTTGTTCAGTTTTCTTGAATTTTCATTCCTTATCACAAAAGACAAAAGTACCGGGTAGAACATCCTAATTCAGGATTTTGTTTATATCCGTTATTTTAAGCGTTAAGCTGGCACGGTCGGATTCCCTCAAGGGATGAGTAGTAATGGAATTTTGTTCACAGAAAGGGCTGTTAGGAACAAGGGCGCTGATTCAAAGATTATATCGGCTGGTGATTCTTTGTCACAGAACTGAAATAAAGCTAAATGCTGAAATTGACTGAGTAACATCATCTCTGCATCAAACTTCAGAAGAACAAGATTAAGCACAGAAGTTGAACGGTTGGAAACTGGCTTGTATTTCAGTTAAGTTTAGTTGGTCGATTAGACTCGTATTTCAGTTAAGTTTAGTTGGTCGATTAGACTCAAGGTTGAAGCAACTTCATTTAATCATCAATGATTCGTTGGTTGAGTACGGTTTACGTGGTGTATGCGGAATGAGAATGAATCAAGGTTGAGTTTGACTCACTCCTTGGCAGACGGTGATAAGTGTTCACTTGGTGACGACATTAAAGTAGTGGACGCTAGTGAATCACTAATTGAGTTTTGCCCTTAAAATTCTATCACTCCATCATGACTCTACTGAAATTGTCTCAGAGCATTTGTTAGTACCAGAAACTTTATACAGTCACCAACAGATTGTTGTAGAATTTACGCTGATCTAATCACATGCCTTGTGATAGTTTAGTGTATCCAGCCGAATAATCCGATATTCATTGAAATACAATTATTGCTATGCACAAAAGCTCTTATTGTTAGTCTTTCAGATTTCTGTAAGCTGAAACCAAAAAGCTCTATGTCACAAACATACATAATGCAAAGCATTGACAATTTTGTCTATTTGCAATTAATTGAATTTCAGTGTGAAGATCTGCAACAGTTTGAAATTTGAACATAATATACCATTGACTGTGACTGTAGCATTGAAGCATCCTTTCATTCTGTACATTGAGCTTTGAGCAGTTTTCTTCGTATCAACACTGAAAGCACTCAGGTCATGCTTATAATCGATTCACTTGTGTCGCCATCTATTTTACGTGAGAACCGATGATATACTTGGTGTTATGAAGAGATTTGGATGTCCCACCAAAATGTCTGTCTTTTTAAAATCGCGTCCTCCCATAGAACTCTCCGTTCTATCTCTGATCGCGGCCTATGTACATGTTGTTATTTATATATATATATTTTATTTATAATGTAGCAAATAAATGATCTCACATCTTACGACGAGGTTTGTTATTGTGTTTTCTGAATTGACCAAAACAAAGTTTAACATCTACTTCGATATCTTCATCCTGATCTGCATTTGCAATTAGTTGACGTGTCATATCTGAGAGGATTTGTTCAATTTTTCGTGGTACATTCTCTCGTGGCTGAACCTGAGACTATTTTGATTCAATCCGATTGAAGTAATCATTGATTGAATTGTAAGCATAGTGAAGTTCACGGGTGTTTACTGCGACAGAGTTAATCGGTTACACAGTATCACATATTCAGCTTTCATCGATCACCGATTAGGTCTGCTCTCAAGTGTTCGGTTATCGCTGTTATCGCAAGGAACAACTTCGGTGAACTCAGAAGACGTGACTGATACAATATGCTCTTATTGAAGAGATCGATTATATGACCCCGTCACCTCAGACATCGCTCACGGATCACGTTCTTAATTTTTTCGCTTTTAAAGAACTCTTCGATTTTTATATTACTGACGAAGTAGTTCTCAATTTGTCTTTATATTCAGTCTAAAACAAATGCTTTTGAATTCCACTTTTGTTTTCCTTTCAAACTCTAGGTTTCAAGGTAAAGCAGTATAGAATGTATTATTGCCTTGAAGATTCTCATCTTTGGTGTTTGTGGTGTCATTTCACTGTTTTCTTCAACGGCGAAAAGACTGGACGTTGATATATAATCTAAGTCATGAATACTGTTGGGAACAGCTGAATGTTAAAAGCAAGCTCGCGTCTAGATAGTTTTTGAATTTAAATTTAGATAGAGACTTAAATTGGTCACCTGAGTCGGTACAGTACTATTATATTACAAGAACTTAACTAATTGCGCTTATTGACATTTGTTTTGAACAGGGAAGTGAAACGAATAACGAATATCAATTCAGTCGAATTAAAATGGCGAATTGAAACGAGTTCGTTAAAAATGAGCGCCGTCTGAATTACCTCATATTCCACAAAAAGTAGAACTTGTATCTTAGAAAATGTTACCTTGGAAAACGTTGATGTTGTTTTTATCTCATTGTGATTCTGACTTTGCTCTTGATTTAATCTAACTCAGTTTCTTTGGTTTGTTTCAAACTGTTTCATCTCTTAATTTATTGTTCTTCGGTGTATGGTTAGCCACATTTTGACAGCTACCTAATTGGTTCACATAATCTTGCCTCGTTTTCTAATTTTACGCTTGTGAGCTTATCAAATAAATGAAAAGAAGTTGGCGTGATACCGAAACGGAACGATTGATTGACGATGTCATAACAAAACAACTACTCCTGAAGAACTAACTGATGAGAATGCGACAGTTGTAAAACTATACACTGAAATTCTGATGAGGCCTTAATTTGAAGTATCACTGTAATTTGAATAATGCAAATCAACATTTCAAAATTATTCGTATCTTCTTTCTACAGTGCTTAATCGCACTTACTGTTAGCTGACAAACATGTTTAAGAGGTTTTCGATATTTATGTGTATGTTCAGCACACACCATATGTAGACCACAAGTGCTCTTCGTAGAATTTGCATTCATATTATTGATTCATGATATTTTATCGATACACTCATGAACAGGGAAACAAAATATGGTCTGATGTGATGTGATCATAAATGAAATATAATATTCATCCACAAATATCATTATTAATTACTTATTTATATCACTATATATA